AAGTCTTCTCTCCCAATCCCTTTTTACCTTGACCTGATCCCTCAGCTTCCCCTCCACCCTTCATTCAGTGGGGAGTGGACCTGAAACTTCCCCTTTTTAGATTACACTGTTAAGGTCTGGTCTTAAAGTTTTCATTTGTGTTTTTTGTATTTGTGGAGAAGCTTTAAACTGTAGCATCAATTTCTTGAGTTGACAGGGCTTATTGAGATGATCCATTTTTTTCTTGTGTGAACTTTGGCCGTTTGTGACTTTTAATGGTTTTAACCATTTCAACTAAGTTGTCTAATTTATTCATACAAAATCATTTCTATATTTTTAGATATTTTCTTATTTTCCTTTCTTTTTTTTTGTTTTAAAAGATTTATTTATTTATTTATACAAGTACCAGGGTACAGGTCAGATGTGTAGGAGGGTGAGACAATTCACCAGAACCAGGCAGACTGATGAAATACACTGCTGGGGGGAGCAGCAGGCGCGACAGGAGATGTCTGCAAGCCATGTGGGACCCTTGCCAGGCGGCCAGGATCAAACCAGCGCTGTAGTGACTGCGGACAGCTTCACAGCACGGCGCTCAACCGCCTGCGCCACCAGGGGCCCTTATTTTCCTTTTAATATCTGCAGAATCTTTAATGATGTGATCTCATTTTTTAAAAAGATTTATTTTTTTATACATACAAGAACTGGGGTACGGGCCAGAGATACGGGGGGGTGACAGGATTAACCGGAGACAGAGTGGGGAAATAACAGGCAGACTGACTGAAATACACTGCCGATTGGAGCAGTGGGCAAGTCAGAGAGGTCTGCTGCGCCATGTGGGTAGCTCCCTCTCTGGGGATCAAGCTCGTGCTGCAGTGGCTGTGGATAGCTTCATAGGCTGTGTCTTAACCCCTTGCACCATGAGGGAGGCCTTGATCTCATTCTTGATAGTTGTACTTTGTACACTTGCTTTTCATCTGTAAATCTAGTGGTTTATCAATTTCATGTATTTCTCAATGAAGTATCTTAGTAAAAGCTCTTAAGTTGGCTTTGATAGTTAAACCTAATTAAAACTAATCATCTAAATCTCTAATTTACAACCATTTTATGTATAAATAAAAAATAGGTTGAAGGAGCATTTTCCACTTCATATACCAATATTTTGAATTTTAATAATGGCCATCTTACTTTTGATTAAATATATCTGCTGCTAATGAACTCAGTCTCTTTGCATTTTGGGAGAGCAGAAAGTTTTATAATGTTATTTTTTACATTGCTGGCATTGATATATGAAATTTATGCAGTGTTGTAAAGTGCTTAAACCAATGTCAGTTAAAAAAACAAAAAAGATACAAAAAAGTAGATTACTAGAAAATAAGATGGTCTATTTTATTTTATTTTTATTTTTAAAACATTCTTGTTCCTTTTTTCACAATATAGGATTTCTCCCCTCTGGTGTGTTCACCATCATTTTCCTACTATCAAAATACCCAGAGTTCTCCACCATATTCCACCGTGTTCTCCTTCCCACTCTGTTTTCTACTCTTCCCCTCTCTTTCCTTCTGACTGTCTCAGACTATGGTCTGCTTTCAAGTGTTGGTCTTGCAGCTTGTCTTTGTCTGATCCTTTCTTTGGTTCTCTAGTTTCCACATGTAAGTGAAAACATCCCGTATTTATCTTTCTCCTTCTGACTCACTTCACTTAGGATAATCCCTTCTATTTCCACCCATGTTGCCACAGATGGCACAAGTTTATCTTTTTTGATCGCTGAATAACATTCCACTGTGTATATACACCACATTTTCTTGATCCATTCTTCTGGAGAGTCTATTCTAATCTCTCTGTAAAAAAGACTCAGCTTAGTATTATTTCATAATTATCATTTGACATAGGTTATAAATGGAACTAAAGCAAAATACAAAGTATGAGAAAGAGCAACCCTAATTTTTTATTATAGATCTGTTTCTGCTTGCAACTTCATTGAATTAAAAGCTTCTCCTTTGCTTTGGAAGCTGAGGTAAGGAAAATGCTGATAGTGGCAGTGACTGGAAAAGTCAAAAAAGGCCTGAATCTTGTGGCTCAGGGAAAAAATGTAACTGAAATGGTTCCAAATAATTTGAGATTTAATATACCAGTATTTTAGTTTTTGAACAAAAGTCACACATGGAAAGAGTCTAAGGATTTAGAAACAAGCAAACTCTTTCTCTTCATGCCTTTCATTGCTGTTCATACAAATTCCTATTTATTTCCCAGTAAAAACATTTGTTCTTATTCTTAATTTTCTAATATAACCAAGAATTTAAGCTCATGATTTCTTTACCCTCACTTAAATTTTATGAATATAAAATTTAAAGAGAACATAGGAACTTTTATGCATATAGAAGTAAAAGTGAAAAAGCAAATATGGGGAAATAATATGAGAATTGTAATAAAAATTAAAAACATTGTAATAAAAATTAAAAATTAAAAAAACTAAAAATTAAAAATTAAAATATTTTCTCTTGGAACTTTGTTTTAGGGAAATTATTTCAAAATTTATCATTTTGCTGTATTATAAAATCCACATTAACTTAATTATATCTTGTTATTGTTCTACTTTTTTCTCTTATCTCATCTTGAGTTTTTTCCTCTCTCTCACCCCCTATCTCTTTCATTTTATTTGTTTATTCATTTCTATCACTTTGGGTTCAATATTAATTTCTACTACTCAATATAGTATTTGTTTTCCCAATCCAATTTTAGTTTTTTCTTTTCTTTGAAATGTTCTAGACTTGATGGCTGTGAAATAGTGAAAGCTGAATGATATTTTAGTGGGACTTTAAAGTTGAAATAGACAAGAGGTATTGGAAACATAAGAAACCCTAATAAAAAATAGATGTTTTGTGGTAGAGGTTGTGTGTATCTTAAGGACAAGAAAGATGTTTGATGAAAAAAGTTTTTAATCAACCAATTAATAATAGTCTCATTGTTTAATCAAAATAGAAAATTAAAAGAAAATCTCTCACAAATTGTCATAATAATCCCATGTTCTGATACTACCTTATATTTTTATTTGCCCTAGATACTGTTTTTAAAACATTCAAAGATAAATACTTTGCTAATTTTTTAAAAACTATTAGATATGTTTCACTCATTGTAAAATTGGACGTTTATTTATCAAAATTCCAGAGCTAAAATTACAAATAGTTTTTCACTGGTGATTTTCTCAATTTTTAGGAATATATATATGTCAATTTTCCTATTAATTTTAAATAAGTGGGATATAAGTGTGTACAACTTTTAAAAAGCGTAGCAGCATCACATTGCTGTAATTATTTGCTAATATTTAATTTTCCAGCTGGTTCTTTAAATGTAAGGTAAATATTGACTAGTAAATATTGACTAGTATATGTAAGGTAAATATTGACTAGTAGACATTGATTCTAAAACCCCAGTTCTCTTAACAACCCCCATTTGCTCATGAAGTCTTCATGCTGCTGTTGAGATCAGGAATCCCAGTCCATTTGCTTCCCTCACTGCAGCTTTAGATGAAAAGGAGGAATCAGCTGCAGCCAGCCCTTCATCTCCACTGTTGGATGACACACTGCTCTGAGACTTTAAATCGTGTTACTCACCCTTTAGAGTACACTTTCAAGGTCAGCTTACTTATTTTTTTTTTTTCAGTTTTTGTTAATTTAGGTTTTATTGTTGAGTCGTAGGATGTGTATTATTTTGTAGGAGAAAGGCAGTTATCAAATATGTTTCTGTTGGATGACACATTTGGAATTGGGGAATCTGACATAAAAGGAATAGAAGGAACAAATAGATGTGTAGTGGCCAGTAGTGTAATCACACGTGTGAGCCTGGAAGACCAGCATTCACAGCAAACCTGAAAATACTGCTTATCTTTGAGAGAACACAAGAGAATTTCTAGAATATTTTCCTCATTATTTTCATTTATGTAGGAAAATACCCACTGAGAGCATCAATTAGATCCATGCAAAGACACAAAAAAAGCCATGGCAAACCTTCAACAGAAAAATCTTGAGAATCTCACCTGTGCTACCATTATTTAGATGGCATAAGATAATTTTGCTTTGGGAGTGATGGGAGAGCAATCTCAAAATATGCAAAGTGCTTTTGAAAAAATTCAAGTGTTGTAGCTGGCAACTGCTTTTACTACATGTGTCCTGAAGAATTTAAGGTATCAGAGCACTGGGGGCCCTTTAGGTGCACAGATCAGTGAGGTTGATAAAAGAAAACAAATAAGCCTGTTTTTGTTTGTATGTAACGTCCACTTGTGGGGTTAAATAGGCATAGAGCTACTCATCCAGCTAAACAAACAAATATTTAAAAAATCTTTTCTTAGAGTTGGTTACAGCTAGTAGAAAAGGTGATTTTGAGTTTGATGTTTTAAATGGACTGCGTTGTCTATATGTCTTAATTTTATTTTTCAGGAGAAAGCCTTTTTCTTCAGAAAATTTAAAGAGAGCAGAACAAATAAGAAATCTCTTCTTTGTAGTTATACCTATTTATATGTAATGTGATTTTTGTGTATTGTATTATATATATTATATGTCCACAAATAATATTGTACGTATTTATATTTTCTGTAAAATAACAATCTGAGTATTCTAAAGATGTTTATTTTTTTATTTAAAATCTGTGCATTTTTGTATTTTAATCATGTATATAACACAACTGGGAGTTTATTTTATAAAAAGGAAAAAACATTCATGCCGGATAGAATATGGACATTTCTCTTTTATTTTTATAATTTTGAAATATTTGTTGTTAATTTTCTAATCTCATAAGATTATGAGAGGGCTTCCCTGCCCCCCATCTGCCCCTCAGCTGCCCCAAGCTTCTTAGCAAATGCTAAATCTCATTCCCTTGGTTTGCTATTACTCTTGTCTGACACAGAGTGGGGGAGTAAATAAGATACAATCAACAGCAGAAATTCTCTGTGAGGGAATGTTGAGTGTTGTCTGCTCCCTGGTTCTCTCTCTTCTGACACAGTCTCTGAGGCCAGTCACACATCAAGGGCCTCCTCACCTCAGAGCAGAAGAGCAAGGCCAGCAGAGCCCACACATCCTCCCGTGTTCCTGCCCAAGCTCGTCCTCCAGCTGGTGAGACCCCAAGGCAAACACACAGGTGTGATCAGCCAGTGTGGGTGTGTGACCCCAGCCCAATGTGCTCTAGGGAAGATTTGTGGAAAGTTGGGAGGATTTTGGATTGTTGCAGGGAAGAACTGACCTTGGGATCCATGTTAATTTATGTCAAGTGTTAATTTTATTCTATAGGTTTAAAAAGTGATGGATCAGAATGAAATAGGATCAAAATATTTACTATGCCATATATGATCTGTTTAATCCTTAAATGTTTTGAGGAGTTTTTATTCTTTTTCAGACACTATACATTCTTTTTTTTTTTTTTACCTCAATTGTTGCTACCTAACTGCTTTCCAATCAATGATCCAAAGCCTATATACAGTCATTCTAAATCATAATAAGGAAAATTTTAATGTTTGATGTTGATTATTTTTCTATCAAAATAAATCCAATTTTGTATTTACAAATTTCTTGTTTTCAGACATTCAATTAAAAATAACTGAACAATAGCCAGTTAACTTAAAAAACTAGAGTTACATTGTAGTTTGTTCTTGTGGTAGACAGAATATTTATTAAAATTAAATGATAGTATATTTATGTATTTTATCGTTATTTTTCAAATCAATTTTCCATAGATTACAAAGTAATTAAATGGTAAAATTTTAAAATATTTTAAGAACCTAAGATTCAACTCTTTTTGAGAACAGTAAACTGTTTCTTTCTATAAATGCAAAATCATGTTGTAGAAACACCTTTTCTCCTCTTTATTCACTATTTTTTGATTATATATCTAGAGGAAAAAGGTTATGTACATTTTTTTGGAAATGTTGTTTATATAAGTCTAGTATAGTTAAGAATCATATTTTTGGATAAATATAATCAAATAAATAAACCATACCAGAAACATTTGAACTAAATATTTATATATCATCTGTTAATATACTATCAATTCCATAAATACTGAAATAAAGACCATTATTAATGAGCTGTTGACTTTGAGAATATTAGTTAAAAGTTTGAGGCTCATTTTTCTCATCTGTACCTTGAAAATAATCATGATTGTGCAGCAATGTTGCTGGAATTACAAGTCAAACCTCACTGACTTAAGGCTGCTTTGCAGTTCCCTTTCACCAAATCCAGAGAATTTTATATTTTCTTATACTCAAGGTAGCATTTATGACTGCAGTGACTCATGATAATGTTTAAGGGATAATATACATGACTGAACCGAGTCTGGCAGTTTGATGAATTTGCCAGATTGGAGTGTGTGTCTCCTTCCTGAGGGCATTACTGTCTTCACTATCAGATGTAGTTGCCATTTTTCAGCAATAAGTGATAAAATAGAATTGCTAAAAGGAGAATGAATCTAAAATTTTAGGTGAGTATTTCAATTTAAGATTTTGGCAGTAAATTCAATTACTTAAAATAACAGTGAAGTCTTAGCATGATATGTTTATAAACTGTAATGAAATATTATTTAATCTTGTAGGACCTCTGTTATAAAACATTACACAGAGAAATTTTCAAAAAAATATCATTTTTTTTCTGTTCGTCTCCAAAGAATGGTTACTTTACCTCATTTACTTCAGACGTCATTTTTCTGGCTACTATTTCATGAGGAAAGCTTCCGTTTTTCAGTGTTATTAATTGTGCCTATGAAACACAAAGTTCTTTCACTATTTTTGCCTTCAGCCCTCAAAATGAGTGAGGACAGAATGATACACAGGGAGATGAAATCACCCACTTCAAAGAAACAAAAGGATGAAAGAGACCCAGCTCACACAAGTGGAGGTAAAGTTTCTTATTTCTTGATTTCTGAAAACATTATAATGTTAGGTAAGAAAAAAACCTTGATAAGTGTGTCTATACATATTTCGTATCATGTACAGGGTTCTTATAAATTGAGAGGTCTATGTAAATGTAATATTGATGAGATTACTGATCACAGGAAATAATGATATTAATTTTATTTTCTAAAATAAATTTCCATTTTGTTCTAAGTCTGAGGGCTTTGCTCTGCTCATACTTACTATAAATGTTGCTTTTGACTTTATGCAGATTTTCCAAGGCATGTCATTGCAGTAAATTTGGGAATAATATGCCTTTTACTCCTACTGAAAAGCACTGGCTTAGGATATTTATGTGAGTATCAGATACATATTTCTCATGAGAAAAATGAGCCAGGATGAAAAATGAGATAATATACTGATTTTAGCTGGAACTTTGTAAACTATAAAAATGTTAGTAGGCTGTGACGGTGTTGATTCTTATGATTTTATTATTTTGTTATAAGCTTTATGTCACAATCGATAGCATAACAAATGTAATACACAAAAATTTTGCTAAATTAGCTTTGTATCAGTTTTTTTCATATGACCATAGAATTGGGAGAATTTTTATTTTAATATTACATACTTTATCATGCACACTAACATCATGCTTATCATAAAGGATATTAACTTTATTTTTTATATAATTAAATGTGATACATCAGTTTTGATAAATTTCCAATGACTTAAAATACTTTTATATACAACACTTGCGTTGAGTATCTTTTTCTTAATGATAATTAGTTTCAGTTTTTAAAAAAATAATTTTGAGTTTTTTCTATGGGTCAGAAATGATACATTGCACCATACCATACAAATTCTAAGAAACATACTTAATACTGTTTCCCAAGCTTTGAAATCTTTACTCGATGGATGGATAGCTTAGAGAACAGTTAATAATTTTCTTGCAGTTTATAGTTTCTGTTTTACTAATGTTCATTACTGTTTTTACATACTTTAAAAATGTACAGCTAGTTATTGTTTTATTTAAAATGTCTACTTCCGTCTCATCACTTGATAATATTTTTACCTTGTATTAGTCTATTTAGCAACATCATGTACTTTGCTATATAGAATTAGAGTAAATTATTATAAAGTGATCTATTAAAGACATTTATAGTGTTATGATTATATGTATTGAAGTTTTTAAGGGTTCTTCTGAGTGCAAAATGCAAGACAAGAAACACAGATATGAGAATAATGCTTCATCACCAGCAGCTGCAGATCACTCAGTTGTACCACCTAGTAGGGGTATGTACTGATCACTTAAACTGATAGTTTGCTGATTTTTCTTTTTTGGAATCACTCCCTTCTGTCCCATTTCAATATGTCACTTAAAATATTACTTTAAACTTTGTCAGGACCTTTTAGTTATTATCTTTCTTGTAAATTTACTTTTTTATGGTAGCTAATTGAAGGCTTCACTTTCACAAAGTAAGTAGCCTCTAGTACATTGTCTTATTGATTTGATTTTTTGAGTAATTTATGCTTGTGGATGTATGATCCCAGGTACAGATCCCTGGAATCAGTATCATTCACGTATATTCACTTGGATTGAATTTTCCCTTGAGGGAGAAGCACTCCATATCACTGCAGTTTATTTGTACTTGAGAAGTCAAGATTTCCCAGTGTGGTATTAACAATAGCTTTGGGTTTCTCAGATACCATGTCGGCCCCCACACTATTCTTATTTTTTATTTTATTTATTTATTTATTTATTTTTTATAGAGGCATGTTTTTATTTGTTTGTTTGTTTGTTTTGTTTATACAAGCACTGGGTACAGTCAGGAGCGCAGGAGGGTGAGAGAATTCAACAGAGCCAGAGCGGGGAGCAGAGCAGGCAGAAGGGCCGAAGTACACTGCTGAGGGGAGCAGCGGGCGGCAGGAGAGGTCTGCGCACCATGTGGGACCCTCCTCAGGTGGCCAGGGAGCAGCCGGGGATAGAACCGGCACCGCAGAGGCTGCGGGCAGCTTCGCAACCCAGCGCTCAACCGCTGCGCCACCGGGGAGGCCCCCCCACACTATTCTTACCTACAGAATTTGGAGATGAAATATCCTTAAACATAGAGATTTTAGAATACAAGGAAATCACCTATTCTCTGTTTCTTCAGACTGTAGTAAGCAATGAAATACATGTAAATACAGTCTCTAACTGGTCTTGGTGATGGTGGCTTTTGTTTTCAAGAGAAAAACTGTGATGGATGTTTTGGAAAATGGAGCTGCTGTGGGAAAAACTGCTACTATTTTTCCAAAGATGTGAAAACTTGGAAAGAGAGTAAGAAGTCATGTGAAGGACGTGCTTCTACTCTCATTAAGATTGATGATGAGGAGGAGCAGGTATGCTATGTTTATTTTATTCAGTCTAAGTGCTGTATGAGTTAGAATAATTGTTTCTAGTATTTCCTCCAATCTTATATGACTGACTGGTTGGCAACACTTGTGCTGGTGCAGATTTAGCTCCAAAAAGGGAACCCAGCTGGAACAAGACCTGGCAGAGTCATTGTTTTAATTAGGAGAAATAGCTTTGCTGTGGGTGTTCTGTGATAATTTTCAGTTTTTTTCATTTTATGGGTTATCTTCATGTTTCATTGTACATCATACTGTTCAGTATTTATCATTTTGTGCTAAAGTAAACATTCAGTAGTGAAATAGTATCCTTTATATTCGTGTTGCTTGATAATGATGCACACTTGAAACATTACAATACATTGTTACTTGAAATAAAACAGAATAAAAAACAGAATGAAAAAGGAAAACTGTCCTAGCACTATGAGGAGTCTAAAAAAGAGCTTCTCATCATACTGAAGTGTATTCTTCCACCATCAATATTCTGAAGGGATCACACTTCTCCAGAAAGATGAGTCAACCACTTTGAAGATGGAAATACACAGATGATAACTAAAAAGAATAGAGATGGAATAATTCCTCAAAAGTAAATTTTGTGTTACTTATTTATGAAAATGACGGAGGAAGCTTCTGTTTTCTAGAGGAGAAAATCTAGATATTTTTGTGTTAAGTTTTCGGGTTTGGGACTATAAAGTGACTCTAACATACTCTAGTTTTTCTTATGTTTAAAGATTCCATTTACACATTGAATTCCATTGTTAATATTTAATCCTACCAATCTTGTTTCAATTTGTGTGTTAGGAGGAGTTAAAAAATATCTCTGATTAATTGCTTATAAAATTCTTGTATTATTCAAATGACATTATCAATCACTTTTTTTTTTTTTTTTTAAAGATTTATTTTATTTATTTATACAAGCACTGGGTACAGTCAGAAGCACGGGAGGGTGAGAGAATTCACCAGAGCCAGAGCGGGGAGCAGAGCAGGCAGAAGGACCGAAGTACACTGCTGAGGGGAGCAGCGGGCGGCAGGAGAGGTCTGCGCGCCATGTGGGACCCTCCTCCGGTGGCCGGGGAGCAGCCGGGGATCGAACCGGCGCTGCAGAGGCAGCGGGCAGCTTCGCAACCCAGCGTTCAACCGCTGCGCCACCGGGGAGGCCCTATCAATCACTCTTTTTAAGAAACAAATGAAAAGTAATGTTATTGAATATATGGAGTCAAAGGAATACACACATCGAGACACAGCTCACAAATACCTTAATCACTTATACCTCAGGTGTTATCAATCAATTTTTAAGTAATTTGTTTTGTTCTACTTTCATTATATTATTCTTATTTATAACCCATATTTTTCTTACAATTTCCCATTTTTTCTCTAGTTTTATTATTATTTTATTATTATTCCCATTTGTTCTCTAGTTTTTATTAAATATATTGTTTATTGATAAACCCTCTATTTCCATGAAGTATTCTAGCTTCTTTTAAATTTTTTGAAGCTTTTGCTCTTGATTAAGGCAAAAACCTGACTGCATATTCTTGACTCATTGGATGATAACTTTGCTGTCAGGAAAAATTGGAATACAGATATTCTGTATTAGCCTTGTGACTGAGTTTGTTATGAGAGAGCATGACACTCACACTAACGGCTTACTTAGGATTTTCAGACTTTTGCTGCTTTACAAAACCTGAGTACAAATAAAGCAGTGACTTCAGTTCAATGATATTTGAAAATAGTGACTGGCTCTATAAAGTATATAAAGGGTATATAAATGTTAACTTTGTATGGCAATTCCAAGTTATTTTTTGACATGATTTTTTAAATAGTTTTAAAGATTTTTCTTTGACCTCTGCTATCTTTTATTTTTCTCCATTGAATAGTAATAAAATGTACTGTTTTAATTTTTCTTTGCATTTCCTTGGTTTTTAGTGAGCTTGGCACTTTTCTAGATTTACTAACCACATATTTTATTTCATGTGAAATATCTATTACTGAATTTTTCCCTTTAAGCCTACTGGCTAATTTTGTTTTCTTATTGAATTAAAAATTACTTCATTTTTTAAACAAAATTACTGCAGATATTTTCAGATTTCAGCTCTTTTTTAATCTTTAAGTTGTATTCTAATGGTAGAAATTCTAAGTTTAATGCAGTTATATTTCTGTATCAATTTTATGCAGGGATTTTTTATTTAGTCCAACTTGTCCCTTTCTTGTCTCTCATCCTCTCAGGAAGACTGGAGTGATTCATCCATGAGACCTTTTTACTTCCATTTCTTTTCAGCAAAATAGAAAAGTTAGTGCTGGCTCTGTTGAACATAGAGTTTTGAGAATAAATGTGCCTGTATTTTAGGAGGGTCCTCTGTAGGTGAAGTGTTATCACTGACATTATGAAGACTGATAATCTTCCCACAGAGATTCATTCAGAGAAAAATAAAATATGCTTATTGGATTGGATTATATACAGAGGAAGCTAATCATACCTGGAAGTGGCTGGATGACTCAAAAATTTCTACTATAGTGTAAAATTTCTACTATAGTGTAAGTTTTCATTTTATAGTTTTCCCTTCTCGGTCTTTTTCAGCTATTGATTCTTTTTTTTTTTTTAATAAATTTTATTTTTATATTCCCCATACAATTGCAACCCCCTCATTCTGACCCCAATCCCTCCCCTCCTGCCACCCCCCCCCAAAGTGTCTCTGGTTCATAGTTTTTTGTTGATTTTGATTTTCACTTTCTTATAGTTATTCATTTCCCTGGTCCCTTATTTAAGTTTTCTAGATTCCTGCAATGAGTGAGACCATCCGGTATTTTTCTTTTTCTTTCTGGCTTATTTCGCTGAGCATGATCCCTTCCAGCGCCATCCATGTTGCTGCAAATTGCATGTGTTTATCTTTTTTGAATGCTGAGTAATATTCCAGGGTATATATGTACCACATCTTCTTGATCCAGTCATCTATTTTTGGGCATTTGGGCTGTTTCCAAAGCTTAGCTATTGTAAATAGTTCAGCTATTGATTCTTAAGTTATAGATGAAGAGCAGTGAAAATCCTTTGGGCCTTAGGGACCATCTTTAATTCCATTTGGTGTCACTTTGCAGAGAGGCAACCAAATGCTGGTCTCAGAGCCCCAGGTACTCAGACCTGAGAAGTATTATTTGTTCCTGTGTTGTTTAATGGAGAGTCTTTTTAAGCACAGTGAAGTAACATTTTGCTTTTGTAACTTCTGTTACCTTTTTATAGGTGGATGAAAGAGGAAGAGATTTCATTATTTTAAAGGAGGTAGTCAGGGAGCTTGAGATGGTGACTTTGTACATAGGCTTGAATGAACAAGACATGTGGCTACTAAATCAGTAATATCCTAGTAGGAAAACAGCTGATAGAAAGGCCTGGAGGAGGGAGAGTATCTACCTACTTGAGGAAAGAGCTAGAATGTCTATGAGGTTGGAGCAAAGTGAGCAAGAGGGAGAGAAGTCAATCAGAGAGTTAACAGAGTGAGCTTGTGGGACATAGGAGGTTTCCATAAGAACTTAGGTTTTTTCCATAAATATGAAAAACTATTAGCGTATTTTGATCAGAAGTTTTGGGTCCAGAAATTGTAGCAATGTTGTTGCCATGAACACTGATGGGAAATTTCTGGATATTGGCTTTAGAATAAATTTGATTAATCTAAGCAATGCTTAAATACTGTGGGATGTTGCATGGGGTATTTTTAACATTATTATTAATTCAAATGTGAGGTATGTATGGGATGTAAATTTGTTTTATCCCAGTGTATAGATAGTGATAATAATAAGAGGCTGGATGTGATCATGAGGATTTAAGGCTTGAGCTGTTAGACACCCAAATGTTCAAGAGGATGTGAGAGTAATGGGGAGGCAAGGATACAAGTGTGAGAAAAGTGGTTAAACAGATAAGTGAAGAACCATGAAACAACATGGAAAGTGTTGAGATACCCAAAAAGCAGTACTTCTGCAATAAATAGCAAAATGGGAATTGTTGGTGACTTCTCACTGATAATTTTGTTTCTTGAAATCATTACTTACTGTTTGTTGGGTTCATTAACATGGAGGATCATTAGCATTAAATTTTCTCTTGTGTATTGTACCTAATCCTAAAATTTAAAGCCATGCTCCCTTGTGTCATTGTTCAATTTCACAAGATTTTGTTTTTTTCTTTTAGTTTTTTACAGTAATGTGATTATTTATTTTAAATATTTATCTTTCTATATATTTTACATCATTGTTCATTTTTGTACAATATTTGTTTTCTCCTCTAAGGTGTAGTCCCTATAAAATTCCTACCACCAATTCACCTATGAACCATCACGACATCCCTATGCTCTTGCCTCCCCAGTACAAAATTTTATTTTTCAACTCAAAAAAATTTTTTGTTAATTTTTTTAATTGAAGTAGCATTATTTTCCATTCTTGCTAGTGTTGCACAATGTAGGATTTCCCTCTTCGCTGTAGTCTACAAGTATAATATTCCTATTTTTTTTTTTTTTTTTTTTTTTTTTTTAAATATTAAATTTTATTTTTATATTCCCCCATACAATTGCAAACGCCCCATTCTGACCCCAATCCTTCCCCTCCCGCCCCCCACCCCCCAAAAAGTGTCTCTGGTTCATAGTTTTTTGTTGATTTTGATTTTCACTTTCTTATATTCATTTTCCTGGTCCCTTATTTAAGTTTTCTAGATTCCTGCTATGAGTGAGACCATCCGGTATTTTTCTTTTTCTTTTTGGCTTATTTCGCTGAGCATGATCCCTTCCAGCGCCATCCATGTTGCTGCAAATTGCATGTGTTTATCTTTTTTGAATGCTGAGTAATATTCCATGGTATATATGTACCACATCTTCTTGATCCAGTCATCTACTTTTGGGCATTTGGGTTGTTTCCAAAGCTTAGCTATTGTAAACAGTGCTGCTATAAACATAGGGGTGCAGGTGCTCTTTGGAATTGATGTTTCTGTGTCCTTTGGGTAAATACCTAGGAGTGGAATTGCTGGATCATATGGAAGCTCTATGTTTAGTAGGTCCAGAAATCTCCACACAGCTCTCCATAGTGGTTGGACCAGTTTGCACTCCCACCAACAGTGCAGAAGAGTTCCTTTTTCTCCACACCCTCGCCAACATTTGTTGTTGCTAGTTTTTTTAATATGTGCCATTCTCACTGGTGTGAGATGGTATCTCATGGTAGTTTTGATTTGCATTTCCCTGATTACAAGTGATGTTGAACATTTTTTCATATGTCTGTTGGCCATTTGCATTTCCTCTTCAGAGAAGTTTCTTTTTAGCTCTTCTGCCTATTTTTTGACTGGATTATTTTCTTTGTTGTTGCTGAGTCTCATCAGCTCTTTGCAGATTTTTGTGATCAGTCCTTTATCATTAGTGTTGGGTGCAAAAATGTTCTCCCAGTTGGTGGGTTTCTCTTTGTTTTTGTTATTGTCTCTTTTGCTGTGCAGAAGCTCTTTAATTTGATGTAGTCCCAGCTGTTTATCTTTGTCTTCACTATCACTGCTTTGGGTGATGTGTCTGTAAAGATGTCTTTGATGTGCAAATCCCGTAGTGTTTCGCCTATATTTCCTTCTATGTATTTTATGGTTTCAGGTCTTATGTCTAGTTCTTTAATCCATTTTGAGTTGATTTTTGTGTATGGTGTGAGGTAGTGGTCAAGCTTCATTCTTTTGCATGTAGCGACCCAGTTTTCCCAGCACCATTTATTGAACAAACTTTCTTTGCTCCAATGCATAGTCTTTGCTCCTTTGTCAAAGATTAGTTGACCATAAATCTGTGGGTTTATTTCTGGATTTTCTATTCGATTCCATTGGTCTGTATGTCTGTTCTTGTTCCAATACCATGCAGTTTTGATGATTATGGCTTTGTAGTATAGTTTGAAGTCTGGGAGTGTGATGCCTCCATTTCCTTCTTTTTTTTTCAGGAGAGCTTTGGCTATTCGGGGTTTTTGGTGATTCCATATGAATTTCATCAATAATTGTTCTATTTCTTTGAAGAATGCCATTGAGATTTTGATTGGAATAGCATTGAATCTGTATATTGCTTTTGGTAGGATGGCCATTTTAATAATGTTTATTCTTCCAATCCATGAGCAGGGGATGTCTTTCCATTTCTTTGTGTCTTCTTCTATTTCTTTTAACAGTGTTTTATAGTTTTCTTTGTATAGGTCCTTTGCCTCTTTTGTTAGATTTATTCCCAAATATTTGATTTTTTTGTTTCGATAATAAAAGGGGTGGTTTTTTTGATTTCTTCTTCTTCAGATTTATTGTTTGTGTATAGGAAGGCTACTGACTTTTGCGTGTTGATTTTGTATCCTGCCACTTTACTGAATTGATTGATGAGTTGAATTAGTTTTTCTGTGGAGATTTTGGGGTTCTCTATGTATATTATCATATCATCTGCAAATAGTGATAGTTTGACTTCTTCTTTTCCTATTTGGATTCCTTGGATGTCTTTCTCTTGTCTTATTGCTCTGGCTAGGACTTCCAGTATTATATTGAAAAGCAGTGGTGAGAGTGGACATCCTTGTCTTGTTCCAGATCTTAATGGAATTGCTTTCAGCTTTTCACCATTGAGAATGATACTGGCTGTTGGCTTGTCATAGATGGCCTTTATGATGTTGAGGTATGTTCCTTGTATCCCAAGAATTTCAAGGGCTTTTATCATGAATGGGTGTTGCACTTTGTCGAAAGCTTTCTCAGCATCTATTGATATTATCATATGGTTTTTATATTTCTTTTTGTTGATGTGTTGGATAACGTTGATTGATTTTCGGATGTTAAACCATCCTTGTGCCCCTGGAATGAATCCAACTTGGTCGTGGTGAATTATCTTATGGATACATTGTTGGATTCTGATAGCTAAAATTTTATTGAGGATTTTTGCATCAGTGTTCATTAGGGAGATTGGCCTATAGTTTTCCTTTTTTGTGTTGTCCTTATTCGGTTTTGGTATTAGTGTAATATTGGCTTCATAGAACGTGTTTGGTATTATCCCTTCCTTCTCAATTTTTTGGAAGAGTTTGTGAAGGATAGGCACTAATTCGTCTCTGAATGTTTGGTAGAATTCATTTTCAAATCCATCAGGTCCTGGGCTTTTGTTTTTGGGGAGGTTTTTAATTACCATTTCAATTTCGCTGCTTGTAATTGGTCTGTTTAGGTGTTCTATTTCTTCTTTATCTAGCTTTGGGTGATTGTAGAGTTGTAGGAATTTGTCCATCTCCTCTAGATTGTTGAACTTCTTTCCATATAACTGTTCATAGTAGTTACTGATTAT